TCTGTTGTGTTGTGGTTGAGTGGATATATAGCTTAAAATATCAACCACAATCCAGGGAAGGTTCAGAGAAATCTGAAGTGACCAAAAAACAAACAAACAAAAAAACACACCAGCCAAAATGAGACACAAGAGTAAGTTTTATAAGGTACAAACAAAAACAAACAAGAAGACTGACCAAACAAACAAAAAAAAAACCAGAAAATAAAAACAAAACAAAACAAAAACAAAAACAAAGGAACCCAAAATAAAAGGCACAGGTTATGGGACAGTGGTTATAATCCCTCCATTTGGATCAGGAAGGGTATTTCAGTTCTTCCTGGGTGTATTTTGTTCTGTTAGAGAACTCTACTTCCCATAATATGAGAAAATTAAAACTGGTATATATATCAAGGTAGTATTGAATAGAGAAAAAAGGACTACATTGAAGCTTATATTCATATCTATATAAAATGAAAAAGAAAAAAATGTATGTTTGAAAATGTTCAAGTTTAAAAGTTCCTATGGAGTATGTTGTATTAAACATCTAGTTGAAATGATAAGTAGGTTAAAAGAAAAAGAGAGAAAAGTTGTATCTAAGAAATATACAGGCTGCGAGGCAATACCAGGAGCTTAATATATTGTTTTCCCCTTGTTTTGGAGGTTTACTGTTTAAGGGAGACCCTGCGGTTCTTGTCCTCCTGTTCTTTCAGCATGTGTTCTAGGGGAGCGGGCTGCCATGTTGTTTTTCAGTCAGTCCTGCTTGGGAGGAGTTGGCGTGCCCCCTATTAAGGGGCTAGGCCCCGTGGAAACTGTTTTTTCAGGCTTTTGTTCTATGGAGGCTTTTGTTCTCTGGAAGCTTTTTCATCTTTTTGGGGCGTCATAGCAAAGTAAACTGTCTGCACTCAACCTCCGGCTCAAAGTGAAGCCACAATCTGCTCCTGTCTGAAGCCTCCAGAGTAGTCTACCCTTCTGTAAGTGACAATGAAAACAGTAGCCTCCTATAGGTGGTGTGTGCCCCCAGTGACCCTTTCAGTGGTTGACTGTGGACCCCTCTTGTCTCCATACCCTCATGCCACCAAAACCACCAGTGATTCTGGTCCTGGTGGCTGCTGTTTCTGGGACCATTGGCTTAGGTCCATGTCTGCCACCACCGGGTCCTAGCATTTGCCCCTTAGGCCCCTTTTTTCTGTTTGAGTGCTGTTATCAGTCCCTTCCCTTCTCGCAGCCATTGGTCTCGAAGATATTGCTGGTCCCCAAGTGCAGGACATTTTTGCACTGGGGTATTGTTTTACTTTCCAGTGGCTAGCTTCTGGTGGCCCCCTCCCCCTTCTGTTTATCCTCCAATATCTGTCCGCACAATCCCAACTCATCCTTCATAACTCTTGACTGATGATCATCTGTCCCCATAGAGATCCAGACATGTATAATCTTATATCTCAGGCTGATTTCATGGGTGTTCAGAGTTGCTTGGGAGATTTCTAGGTAAATTCAGGGGACCGGTTGAAAAGGAGTCCCCCACTTCTCCACCATCTTGGTGGAACCTCCTCTATTTTTCATGGAATTAGATGTAAATTTATTTTGGTATTCATGGCCTCCACAAAGTAACCCTAATTCCATTCTGAGTTTTAGTTGAACTGATCTTTTCCAGACACATCCTATCCTTTCATTCCATTGTGCTCATGCCCTTCTCTTCCCCTGGAATGCTCTTTGTTATTTCTATCAAAATTCTGCTCATTTTTTTAAGGTTCAGCTGAGATAAATCCTCAAGTTGGATGTAATTTTGCCATATCTTGAACTCCTATTGCATTTAATTTGTTGTACCTTTCTTATGACACTTATCATAGTATTCTTATATTAAAGTCATTTATATTCCTTTCTTACCTTTTCCTCTCATATCATAATTCTTGCCCTCTAGGAAATTATGCCTTACACATCTTCTTTATTTCCTGTAGCACCTAAAATAACACCTACTTTAGAAGAGATGCCTGATAAATATTTGAACAGATTTCAATTATTTACTTTGGAAAGTTATCTATACTTATTTCAATGATGTTTAATTTGTCAAGTTATTGAAGTTCCTTACAATTGCTCTGAGATTTTTTTAAATGCTTTTTTGGCAGCAAATCATCATTTGGGGAAGAATTTGATTTTGGAACATAATATTTATTCTAAGCTACACTTAGTGAATAATATTGATGTTCAATTTGGGCTTTTATGTTTTCAGTTAAAACAAAGGGAATACGAATTAATGAGACATAGTCTCTGTCTCCCAACTCCAAAAGAAAAGTTCCCAAAATGTTTTTGACAATAGCAACATCATTGTAATGACTTTATAACTTCCTAAGTTTTCTACTTTGAAACATACAGTACTCATTCAAATGTGTCAAGTTTGAATATATTTGTTACATCAGTCTTGTTTCTTTGTCAATTAATTTTACAGTTTTCCAGACCAGGGTGTTGAAAATGTGTTTGGAATTTAAATATCATTTAAATGATATGTATATTGTGCTGCTCATTTGAAATACTATTTTTGTAGCTTCTGGTGAAGAAGAAATTAAATCATCACTATTGACCAAACAAAACTTTCCACATTTGAAGAAAATATGTTTATACAGTATTATTATTTTAAAAAGCATACAAGTTCAGCTGCTGTGGTTGGCTTTCCTGAGTTTTACCAGAAACACAAAGAACTGAAAAAAGATTCTTTTTTAATTCTTATTTATTTTTAAAATTTATTTTCAGTGTTTCAGAATTCATTGTTTATGCACCACACCCAGTGCTCCATGCAATATGTACCCTCCATAATACCCACCACCAGGCTTACCCAACCCCCACCCCTCTCCCCTCCAAAACCCTCAGATTGCTTTTCAGAGTCCACAGTCTCTCATGGATCATCTTCCCCTCCTATTTCCCCCAACTCCCTTTTCCTCTCCATTGAAAAAAGATTTGAAGTAAACAGGAGAAGGTAGTTGGATATAGCATTTGAGTATTATGTAACTGGTGTCCTAGAATTATTTAAAAAAAAAAGGTGAAACTTCATCTCTTCCCAATGCACATAGTATTGATAATATTTGTATGTGAATGTCCTTATAGGAGTTTTCTATTTTCTTGGTTACATACAATTGACTTAAGCAGAAAATCACATTTTATCTATCCATCTATCTATTTATTTAATTTTATTTAGAGAGAGAGCGAGTTTCAGTGTGGGGAGGGACAGAGGGAGAGAATCTCAAGCAGCCTCCCCTAAGTGTGGATCCTAACATGGGATTCAATCCCACCACCTAGAAATCATGATGTGAGTCGAAATCAAGAGTCAGACACTTAACCAACTAAACCACCCAGGCACCCCAGGAAAAAATAAAAAACACATTTTATATTCTTAAAATGTATAATGCCCAATTTTAAAGATATTCAATTATCATGTATATTGTATGAATCATTTTTTTATTTCATATGTAACTTTTTAATACTTGTTTATGGGAGGGGTTGCAATTTGTTTGGTTTAACATGTTTTCTGGAGCAAATTTATATAGCCAGTTTTAAATTATCATAGCAGGTAGAAGCATGTGCACAGATAATCCAAAATCATTGGGTATCTCTGTTTTTTCAAGAATATATTGTGTGATTATTGCAGTAGTCTTACCTCTTTCACTGAGCTAGCAACCAATTTACTTTACAAACATTATGTTATATAGCAAGTACTGATGTGAGGACAAGAAAGTATATCTTTTAAAGAACATTTTTCCATAAAAATTTCATTATCATTCAGTTTACCAATTTTATTTATTTATTATTTTAGTTTACCATTTTAAGAATCAATTACTCAAAACTTTTCATGATCCTCAAGCATTATAGTTTATTGCCATGTTACTGTGATGGGATTTTAACTCAAATAAAAGTACTTTTTTCCTTAAAAGTATTATTTGGAGTTTATATCATTAATTTTTCTTAAGCTATCCCTAGTATGTTGGTGTACTTTGAACTCAAAATAAAATTTCAGATCTAGTGGCCAGGGGCAGTAATAATTTATCTGAATTTTGAATAATTAAGGATATTACTTTACTATTTGCATTGACTGTTTGATTATCACTCCTTATCAGTGGCCTAATACTGATTCATAGGTCATCACTAAATGTAATTTTATCAAAACAATAAACTTTCTATTCAGTACCATATTCTCAGCATCACCAATTTGCAAGGCTGATTTGACTTGTCAGTCTCTCAGGAGGTATGTGTTTGGGAGGGAAGGAGAGGGCAGGAGGAGAATTTGGAGTATTCCCCCAAACTTGTGAATCCCAGGGAAATGTAGGCTACCCTGTATTGTAGCTCACAGGACCACCTTGGTCTCTGTAAACAGTTGCCAGAATCCAACTAGAGTAGCACTTATCTCCTTGTGAGACAGTGCTGATGTAATAAGGTTTTGCTGGCTATTCATCTTAGTAGTTTCTGCTTAAAAAGGAAATTGCAGTTATGTAGGCTAAGTCTAGAAAACTAATATATAGCATGATGACTATAGTTAATAAGTTAATTATTATAACATGTATTCTACAGAGTGCTGAATTTTTACTATAAGAATTTTCTTTTTTGAAGATTTTATTTATTTATTTCAGAGAGAGCACAAACAGTGCAGAGGGGCAGAAGGAGAGGGACAAGCAGGGAGCCCGAAGCAGGGGTTGATCCCAGGACCCCAGGATCATGTCCTGAGCTAAAGGCAGATGCTTAACCAACTGAGACACCAGACTCCCCTATAAAAATTTTCTTGTCCACAGAATTTTGAAGCATGCTTCTAGGCCCCAATAATGCCCTAGAAATTTTCTTGAATTTCCAGGGGAACTGTACTACTTTTAAAGGAAGGCCCTTTAAATCTGTTGTGTTCAATAAGGAAATGACACTGTCTACGTGGGGCATATGCTCTGAATGCAGAACTATCTTGACATCCTGTATGAATTTTTTGCTGTTGATCATTATTTGAAGTACTGTTGATGCATACCTTACTGAAATTCCATTTCTTGTTTCCACAGATTTCAGGAAACCTTACTGTGCCTTGGATTACAGGGTGTTCTAGAAAAAGAGCAGTAAGTAATCTTTCATTTAAAACAACAAGTAGGGTTTTCCCCTGTGTTATTAATAAGAGTGCCATTGAGAATATTTTCATGATAAAGTTGGCAAAATTGAACCTCATTAAAACTGCATTATCTCAAAGTACATATTCTGAGATCATAATATTTATATATATTACCAATAAAATCTTAAATGAAATATAGTATTCAGTGCACCATCTAATCTTTGAGCAGGTTTTTATAGTTTTAAAAAGCACACAAAGATAATTAATGGGATAGGTGAAATAGAGGGGAATAAGAAGAGCATTGAGTAATGTATAGAATTGTTGAATCATTATATTACACCCCTGAAACTAATATATATCTAACACTCTATATTAACTATACTTCAGTAAAAAGATAAAATACCATAATATTTTTATATCTAATTATCCCAGTTAATTTGATCATATAATTGAGTTATGATTGATTTAAATGTCTCGATCAAAATTAAGAAATTTACATTACTATTTATTTTTAGTGCATTTCAGTATTTTTATGGTTGTAAAAGCCTTAACACACAATATGTTTTTTCCTTTAAATTCAATTATCCAATGATTAGTACATCATTAGTTTTTGATAACATGTTCAACTATGCATTAGTTGTATATAACATCCAGGGCTAATCACATCACTTACCCTCCTTAATGCTCATCACCCAGTTACCCCATCTCTCCATCCCCTCTCCCTTTCTGCAGTCCTCAGTTTGTTTCCCAGAGTCAGAAGTCACATATGGTTTGTCTCCCTCTCTGATTTCTTCCCATTCACTTTCCCCTCCCTTCACCTATTGTACTCTTCACCATTCCCATGTGATAATTGTCTTTCTCTGATTGACTTATTTCACTTAGAATGATTACCTCCAATTCCATCCATGTATATGTAAATGATATTCATATTTTCTGATTGGCTAAGTAATATCCCATTGTATGTATGAGCCACATCTTCTTTACCCATTCATCTGTTGAAAGACATCTTGGCTCCTTCCACAGTTTGGCTATTGTAAACATTGGTGCTATGAACATTGGGATACATGTGCCCCTTCTTTTCACTATATCTGTATCTTTGGGGGTCATAGGGAAGCTCTATTTTTAACATCTTGAGGAACCACCATACTGTTTTCCAGAGTGGCTGTACCAGTTTGCATTCCCACCAACAGTGTAATAGGGTTCCCCTTGCTCCACATCCTCACCAACATTTGTTGTTTCCTGCCTTGGTAATTTTAGCCATTCTAACTGGTGTAAGGTAGTATCTCATTGTGGCTTTGATTCATATTTCGCTGATGGCAAGTGATGTGGAGCATTTTTTAATAGGTCTGTTAGCCATTTGTATGTCTTTTTTGGAGAAGTGTCTGTTCATGCCTTCTGCCCACGTCTTGACTGTATTCTTTGATTTTTGGTTTCATAAGTTCTTTACAGATCTTGGATAACAGGCTTTTATCTGATGTCATTTGCAAATATTTTCTCCCATTCCATAGGTTGCTTTTAGCTTTGTTGATTGTTTCCTTTGCTGTGCATAAGCTTTTTATCTTGATGAAGTTCCAATAGTTCATTTTTGCTTTTGTTTCCCTTCCCTTTAGAGATGTGTCTTGCAAGAATTTCTGTATCCAAGGTGGAAGAGGTTGTTTCCTATGTTTTCCTCAAGGATTTTGATGGATTCCTGTCTTCACATTTAGATCTTTCATCCATTTTGAGTTTATCTTTGTTTATGGTGTGAGAGAATGGTCCAGCTTCATTCTTCTGCATGTGGCTGTCCAATTTTCCCAGCACTGTTTATTAGACTGTCTTTTTTCTGTATGATATTCTTTCCTGCTTTGTTGAAGATTAGTTGGACTAAGACTGAGGGTCCATTTTTGGGCTCTCTAGTCTGTCCCATTGATCTGTGTCTGTTTTGTGCCAGTACCATACTGTCTTGATGATTACAGTTTTGTAACATAACTTAAAGTCAGGCATTGTGATGCCCCCAGCTTTGGTTTTCTTTTTCAACATTCCTCTGGTGATTTGGGGTCTTTTCTTGTTTCATACAACTTTTAGGATTGTTTGTTCCAGCTCTGTGAAAAATGTCAATGGTATTTTGATAGGGATTACATTTAATGTGTAGATAGCTCTGTGCAGCCTAGACATTTTAGCAATGTTTATTCTTCTAATCCACAAGCATGGGATGTTTTTCCATCTCTTTGTGTTCTTCAGTTTCTTTCATAAGCATTCTGTAGTTTGTAATGTACAGATCTTTTACCTCTTTGATTAGGTTTATTCCAAGGTATCTTATGGTTTTGGTGCAATTGTAAATGGGATAGGTTCCTTAATTTCTCTTTCTTCTGTCTCATTGCTAGTGTATAGAAATGCAACTGATTTCTGTGCACTGGTTTTGTATCCTGTCACTTTGCTGAATTGCTGTATGAGTTCTAGAAATTTTGGGGTGGAGTCTTTGGGGTTTTCTACATAAAGAATCATGTCATCTGCCAAGAGTGAGAGTTTGACTTCTTTGCCAATTTGAATGCTTTCATTTCTTTTTATTGTCTTATTGCTGAATCTAGGACTTCCAGTATAATTTTGAATGACAGTGGTGAGAGTAGACATCTCTGTCGTATTCTTGATCTTAAAGGAAAAGCTGTCAGTTTTTCCCCACTGAGAATGATATTCACTGTAGGCTTTTCATAGATGACTTTTATGATATTGAGGTATGTTCCCTGTATCTCTATACTTTGAAGAGTTTAGAAACCTAGCAGATCAGAAAGGTGTGGCAAGTTATATTCAGGGTACTAAATGGGAAGAACATGCAACTAAGAATATCCAGCAAGGCTGTCATTCAGAATATAAGGAGAGATAGAGTTTCCAAGACAGACAGAAGCTAAGAGAATATGTGGCCACCAAGCCAACCCTGCAAGAAATATTAAGGGGGATACTGTATGCGAGGAGAGACACCAAGAGTAACAGACCAGAAAGTAACAGAATCACTCTTCAGAAACAGGGACTTTGCAGGTGATTCAATGGCACTAAATTAATATCTTTCAATAGTTTCTCTGAATGTAAATGGGCTGAATGCACCAAACAAAAGACAGGGTTTCAGATTGGATAAAAAGCAGGATCCATCCATATGCTGTCTACAGGAGACTCATTTTGAACCTAAAACACCTCCAGATTGAAAGTGAGGAGGTAAAGAACAATTTACCATGCTAATGGACCTCCAAAAAAGCTGGGATAGCATTTCCTCATATCAGACAGATTAGATTTTAAACAAAAGACTGTAATAAGGCATGTATAGGGACATTATATCATACTTAAATGGTCTATCCAACAAGATCTAGCATTTCAGTATTCAAAAGTAATGAGTAACTAGTAGTTTATCAGTCTTATTTTGTTTTTCTGACTTCCTACCCCAACTACTGTGATTTGTATAATGTTAATAAAAAACTTAATTAAAACTGTGTTTTATCAAAGAATCTTATTCAGTTGGTCTGTGTGGGACCTATAAATCTGAATTTTAAGAAACACCTCAGGAGATATTGATGTAACTGGTCAATAGATGGGAAACCATTAAAAGATTTTAATTATGAAAGAGGCATAAATAGAATTTTAGAAAGATAACTCGTTACTTTATGGTAGGTAGGTTTAGGGATAGTAAAGCTGAAGCTAGGAACTTTTGTACTGTACGGGATTATGTAGACTCTTTTTTACTTTCTCTTCCCCCAAAAGTAGAACTATAAACCATGGAAATAATATAGGATGCCACCAACGGAGATCTCTAAAAGTTGGAAAGGAAGCAACTGGTTAGTAATTCCAGGACTTGGAAGAACTACAGGGTATTTTGTCTCCCAATTAATAACAGAAGATAACCAGGCCAGGCATCTCATGACCCACAGTGTAATAAGAAAAAACAGCTTGGGTAGGCTCATTCCTCCCATTGTTGGGGTGGGAGTTCCCAAACAGCATGAAGTGATCCTGGCAACATTGCTATAGGAGAGCAGTTGGAAGCTTCAGTAACAATAAGGCAACCAGAGAAGTGTTCTCGTTCTCTGTCACACCTGAACCTTTCCTCCTTTGGTGGAGATACTAGGGAGAAATACCAAAGGGAGATGTCACAAAACGTAGTTTGACCTGGAAAACCTCTTTGGCATGGTAAGTCAGAGAATTATTTCCCCAACTTAGAGAATCAGGTGGCTTGGTTAGCACCAGCAAAAGTGATCAAGGCACTATATGTGCACAGCTTAGTAAGTGTGTTGTTCATCTCTGAAGGATAGAAAATCTATTTTCCCACATGGAGACACTAGCCCAGGTAGTACCAAATAAATCAAGCAATTAAAACAACACTACAGCTTATTTGAAAATTAAAATACCAACAGAAGGTACCATTGGAACCACAGCCCATAAATGTCGGCGAGGAACTGTGTGCTTGCCTGGTAAAATAAAAAAAGATTTAAATAAAGCCAAAAATCTCTTTACATAATGGCCAAAGTGTTTAAAAAAAAATCACCCAGAATACCAAGAACCGGGAAAATCACAGAATGAATGATAAAAGACAATCAACTAGCACAAATACTGAGATGAAGTAGATAATGGAATTATCTGACAAGGATTTTAGAGCATCCATTATAAAACTGTTCCAACATGCAGTTACACATTCCTTTGAAACAAACCAAAAAAATAGAAAATCTCAAGAAAACAATCAACGTTATAAAAGAACCAAATGAGAATTGTAGGACTGAAGAATACAATAACAAATAAACCTGCAGGATTCCTCAAGATTTGAGTGGTGATAAAAGAGAACAGAATCAATGAACCTGAGGACAGATTGATAGAATTTACTTAACTGGAACTAGAGAGAGAAAATAAACTGAAAAATATTAGAGGCTTAAAATCTTGTGGAAAAATAACAAAAGATTCAATATTTGTGTCATTGAAGTCCTATAGTAAGAGGAGACAGAGAATGGGACATAAAGGATATTCAAAGAAACAGTGGCAAAAGAATCTCAAATTTGG